AGATTAACAAGTCATTTATCTAAATTACACAAATAGTTATATCTTTTAGTCGAAATGTTTTTAAAAGATAAACTCATCCCTTATAATTGTATTTGTCGCAACAAAGCAAGCCATTAACCTGATATTTTTGCTACAGTTTGCTTTGTTATTTACTAAATCATCTATATTTAGTTTCGTGTTCTACTCGATCAATAAAAATTGTATTTGAACATAAAATAAGGATTAAAATATTGTATTGTACATTCATAAATTATTATTTAGGCTGAAATTCAGATGTTAGCATTGAAAGAAAGTATAGTATAGAAGGATATTATTTTTAAATTAAAAATATTTTATTGCTCATATATTAAAAACTAACCTGTAACAGAACTACCTCAAGTGACCATTGATCTTCAGAAGGGATAAAATAAGGGAGCAGCTGTACATGCCACATGCTGCATTTAGCATCAAGTCTATTTTTCATCAAATTCAATTATGTTTTTATTATACTCAAGAGAATAAACATAATAGTATAGAGTACATATATTTTTAAAAATAAAATACTGAATAATAACTATGGTTCAAAAGACTGTAAATCATTTATGCACTCATTTATTGCCTTCTATCAGAATGGCTTTTAGAAAATTGTATGTCATGACGAATCAGTTATGCCACACTTGCACTGCAGTAGTTGAATTACCTTTGGCATTTTTGTATTCTAACAGTTCTATTTATCCCCCAATGGTCTACATTGAATAAGTAATAAATATCTGTGTGATATAGGTTTTCCACAATTCTTTTAAAAGAAAAAAGGCATTACCAATTCACCCTTAAATACAGTATTTTTTCTTACACTTGAATTTTTCAAGCTGTATTTCTTACAGTGACCCTGACATCTTAAGTGTGAATTCCTTCCCTCTCTTTAATATCATCAAGTTTTATGAGCCATGGGGTCTTTACCCTCCCCAAAGCAGTGATTTCCCAGAATGAACTGGCATGCCCAGAGGTCACTGAACCTTCACCTGCCCTTCAAGGGAGACAGTCATTCTCTCAAGCAATTCTCACCTTAATGCCTTAGTTTCCACTTGAGTTCAAGCTAGGTGATTGGCAGTTCTGAGGCTAGAAGTCAGTGACAATTATTTACTTTAAACACATATCACAGTTGATAACAAGAGAGTAACTAGTGTGCCATAGAGGAGCACTATGAACATTGTATCCAATGTTTAATCCAATTAAACAACTGAGTCACACAGAGCCTTGAAATATTTTTTTCAGCTCATGGGACCTTATTAGTTTAATAGGATATTGAGGCACAGAAGTTCTCTTTGACTCACATAGGACATATGAATTTTTGTCCTCTTAATGTTTAGTTGTACAGATATTATTTTAGCTTTTAAAAATTTATTTACTTATTGATTGATTGATGATTGATTGATTGATTGATGGATGGATGGATGGATGGATGGATGGATGGATGGATGGATTGAATGTGTATTTCCTGCATGTATGTAAGGGCACATGTGTTGTACAGTGCCAGCAGAGGATGGAAGAGGGCGTCAGATCCTCTGGAACTAGAGTTATAGATGGTTGTTAGCTGCCATGAGGGTGCTGGGATTCAAACCCTGATCTTTTGCAAGAACAGCCAGTGCTCTTAGCCACTGAGCCATCTCTCAAGCCCAGATATTATTATATCTTGTTAAACTTATTTTATTCTGTTTTCTAATCACAGACAACTTGTCTGTACCTCATGAAGCAAGTTTTGCTGGTACTGATAAATTTTTTTTTTTTAATCATCTCAGGAAATCTAAGAGGTGCTGAGTTGCTACCAGGGAAAGAACCATTTGTCGTAATTCAGGAGATGTGATTGGGGAGGGGTATTGTGAGAGAATACTGGATAAATGCTTTCTATAATAACCGTAATAGGATATGTACCCCATAGTTTCACTTATTTTCCACATAATGGTTAATATTTTTCACTTATATATAAAAATTTTCTTTAGAGTTTCTTATGTTGGCCTAAAGGTCTAGATAGATGAAGTAACCAAATGGAATCTTTAATCTACAAATCTTAGGCTTCTCATGGGAAAGCCATTAATCTTAGGACCAAGCATCTCAGCAGCCTAACCTCTGGCCCCATTTGTAGTTCTCACTTTTTAATCTTCTCCATTGGGCTCTGAACTTTTTTAGGTGTTCTGACAGTTTTTAAAAGTACAGTTTTAGTTTCAAGTATGTTAGCTTCATCTACTGTAGGCCAAACTAGTATAAAGCAACAAACAATTGTTGAGGATATTTTAATTGTATTGTAATAATTATCTTCCAATGAGAAAGAAAGTGATGCATGTGGCCGCCTGTTTTTATATTGTTCTGATAACAAAAATG